GGTGTGAGCCTCTGGCCCAGGCAACAGGTGCAGCAGGGTGGGAAGGCAGGTCCTGCCATGATTCCCCTAAGTCCTTCCCACGGTGACCTAGGATCATTCACAACTCTTGCCTGTGTGCTCTACCCTGACCCCCAGAGGAGGCACGTGCCCAGGGGTTCTGGTTCTCTCTCTGCTCCCCTCCTGCTTAGTGGAGACCCCTCCTGGGAGTACACATGGTGGTGTGGCCTGCAATGCAACTATCTTCAGGAACTGGTAGTATATATAGTAAACCCTCCACGTTCGTCTGCCTCTTCCAGGGTGATTTCCAAGCCTGTGCTGGAGTGACCCTGAAAGGTCCTTGACAACATTCCCATTTACAACACTTTCACTTCATTGCTTCGTAAACTCCTTTATCTCCTCCTTGTAAAGTCTACAGTGCTCTAAGCCTGAGCCACAGCATTTTTGGACTCACATTGTTATGCCCCACTTGTTTTCAGAGCCCATCCATCAGACGGGAGCCTCGGGAGGGGCAGGCCCTGGCTCTCCTGCTCATCTCTCTCCAGTGTAGCGCTTGTCTCATAGTAGGCACCTAATAAGCATTTATTAAATGCACAAATAAGTTCTGTCCCTTCAGCGGGCTTTGAACAATGAGTTAGAACCAGTATATGCTCTTTCCAGGTGAGGCTCAGTGTCATTTTGACCTAAGCACCTCTCAGGACCTCTCGGCTCAGTGGGAGAGGCAGAATGAGTACCCTGCAAATGCACGTTGACGGCTCCCTCTGCTCGCTGCAAGGATGTCTTCAGATGCCTGATGCAGACTGGCAGGTGTAGAGGAAGACGAGGAGCTGCTGCCTGCACCGAGCACCCGAGGGCACTAGGGCGCATCGAGAGGTCAAGAGAGTAAGTCTGAATTTCTGTCACTTGGACACACACCCGGTTGCTTGGATGTGATGGGAGTCTCGCTTGCTAACTTGGCAAATTCTCCCCCTGGCAGGAGGGCCCGAGTCTGCCGGTGCCTGCAGTAGCAGAGAGGGCAGAACTCAAGGCATCCTGGTACAGCTGTCAGAGAGGCAACAGAGGGACTGTGAATTTGTGATGAGGGAGGACCTTGGGCTCGGGGCCTCTTCAGGGTTTCTAAGCCAGAAAGAAGGGAAGTGATGAGGGGCCAGAGCCAGGAGGTGGCATGCACTGCCGTGGGGAGCAGGAGGCCAGCCGGCTACTTTCCTCGCTGCATGAGCAACCCCTGCTCTCCGCTCCAGCACTCCCTGTTAACACCCGGAGGTTCTTGGGCTCAAAGTGGCTTTTTACTGGCAACTTGTCGTAGCCACTGACAAACTGCACAGGACCAATGGGATTCAGACTTTCAGCCTCTGTGGCTTATGTTTAAGGTAGAAAAAAAGGCCTGTGTGCACACATATGCATGCAACCACATTTAATGCTTTTTCTTATTCAAATTGGAGGTGCATCATTGATATGGTGCACTGAGGAGGGCACAGGGCATGGTATCTCATTTAAAATGCATGACCTTGGACTAATCATGAAAAATATCAGACAAACTCAACATGAGAGATGAACTACAAAACACCTGAGCAACACTCTTCCAAAGAGTGAAAGTTGGGCTGGGGGTGTGGCTCAGAGGTAGAGGCCATGTGAATTTGCACAGACTCTGGGATCTATTCCCAGCAACACACATGCACTCACGGGCAGGAACACATGCCGATGAACAAGTACACGCGTGTGCACATATAGTCAAGGTCATGAAAAACAAGCAAAGAAGAGTGAACAACTGGCACAGGTTGGACAGATCGGAGGGACTAAGGGAGACGGAACAAAGTGTGGGATGCTGGCCCAGAGAAGAAAGGGCATTGTTGGAAAAAATTCCCCAAATTAGTTAATAGCATTGCATGGGTGTTAATTTTTCTGGTTTCAAGAACTGAACTATGGAAATTTAAAATGTTGACATTAGGGAGATCTGGGTTAAAACAGTATAGAAACTGTATATCCTTTCTTGGCAACTTGTGTCCAAGTGTAAGAGGAGTTTTATATTAAAAAAATGGGAAGGTAGGGTATTGGTAGAAGCAAGATTCACTTCATAGTGTAATGAGGATGAATGAGAGTATGTATTAAGAACTCTGCATGGTGCTTGGTACTTATTTAGCAAGTAAGAACTATTTCTTGCTATTTAAAATGATTGGAAGTACAGGCATTATGCCTCAGGAGTAAATCAGGTACAGATCTTTAGATTTACCTGCTTGAAGCCGGGGCAGGTAAAGCCACGTGACTCCTCTGCCATTGCTCACTGCATCCCCAGGTATGGTTAGGGAAATGTTAGTTTATACATTGATAATCATGTAATGAGGTGTCCAGGGCTCGAGTCCTTCTAACAGCCTGGCTGGCCTACATGATAAGTCCACTTTCAGGACTGTGATTGTGACATCAGCGTGTCAGGAGTGGAGGTAGCTGAGATGCACTGTCATTTCCTATTTATGATAATTGATCCTAGTTTTCTCTATTTCAATTTTTGCTGACATTGTTCCTTTTACAGCAAATCTATGTAAACATAATGAGTTGATTTAAAGAAATAAGTTAATAACCGGTGGCCCATGAACTCGGCAACGGTAATAAATGTGGTATGTGAAAGATTGAAGTTTGGGAAAGAAGGGCTCAGAAAAGAAGAAAGCTCATGTTCTCCACAACGAAGCAGCTTAAACTGTGTCCATTTCAAAAATATTTATGGGGAAAGGTTTTTAGGGCAGTGGGGTCGATGCTTGCTCCTCACACTCTCAACCAGCTTCGCCCAGAACAAATGGGGAAACAGGAGAAGGCAGATTTATTTTTTAAGCGCTTCAATTTTGTCTCCTGTATGCATCAACAGTTAAATTAAAATATAAATAAGTTCAAAGCCCAATCTCAGGAACGGCGACTGAGTACTGAGGAGCAACTACTCTCAACAGCCACTCAATATTTGTTTCACAAGGATCAATTATATAGCATGGCTAATGCACATTCGGAGTGTGCGCCCAGCCACAGGGCAGGTGGTGAATGCGAAACACACACCGAGAGCCCTTTTAAGCAGCTAAATGCACGCTCCATTACAGATCCATAATGCAGGATGGACGCTCCTCTGGAAATGGATTTAGAGCGAAGAGTTCTTAAATGGCCGGGGTACTTAGCTCTGAAAGGCCAGTAACTGGCTGTGCAGTCGGAGCACACATGGTTTTTAGGATTAATAATACATCGATGTGTGTCAGTGTTAATATACATTTACAGCTCACAGGCCGTGTTCAGCCCATTTGCAGCCACATATAAAAGCACTGCCCTGTCCTTCCTCTCGTTAATGCCTTCACTCCCAGGAAAATTAGATTACGCAGGAAGAGCCATTCGAACGGTACTGAGGTTTGCCTTCCCTGGAAGCCTTGGCTGGTGGGACTTAGCGGTGTAGAGGGTCGCCCCCTGCTCCCTCAGGCCCCTCAGAGCCTGCGCGCGGTGCCTGTAGGAGCTGGAGGCTTGAGTTTTCACTTTGCTGAAGTGTCCCCAAGCCTGTGGACATAGGCCTGCTTTGCCAAAACCCAGGCAGGAGAACTGATCAGTGGCTCCTTACTCTTATCCTTCTGTATCGGATGAGTTGACCAAATCTTTCTCTGTACTGGGGGATAGAGGAGTTGTTTGTAGGTGGTGCCATTTAGGAATGAGTCTCACACATGGGCCACCAGAACGAGAAGAATGAGAAAGTTCCATTTACTGAATAGTTAGCATTTATCAAGATGGAAATCTCAAATCTGGGCAAGGTAGAGAATATCTGAAAAATTTCCCAGCAAGTATGGTGAAGGTGGGAGAACACAGTTCACGGGAATATCCCATTAGAATAGCTAAGCAGGAGGATCTTTTAATGAAGCACAGATAAAAGTGATGAAAAGAGTCAAATAGACAAAGAATAATATATATAAATAAGTAAATAATAAAATCCATGCCTTTGACACCTTGCAAGGTGCCTCACTTAGACCTCTGTGTGGATCTTACTGTGTCCTCATGATGAGCTCCTGAATTGACACCCCCCTCTTTCCCAGATGCAAAAACCCAGGTTCAGAAATGTTCAATGACTTGCTCAAGGTCACAGAGATACTCAGCAGAGGAGCTGGGAAGGGGACCCAGGACTGTCTGACTCCCTAGCAAGGGCTCATAACCTGCCTGTCACTGTTTTTTGGGCTGTTTTTCTGAATAGTGGTGGGACAGAAATCAGTGTAGTGGGGGGATACCTGGTATTAAAAAAATTAAATAGAATAAAATAGAAAAGAAACATAAAGGTATCACTTTAAAAATTTTGTTTGAATTTCTTATTTGTGTTTATCTGGACATACTCGTGTTTGTGTGTGGACATGGACTATGTCAAAGAGCAAGGAGAGCCACTGATCTTGCCTCCGACTGAGCCACTTCAAGGTCGAACTGAAGGTCTCTTGCAAGTTAGGTTTGCAGCCCCTCAATTCCCTGCTTTTGAGAGAATCATTTTCTTTCTTATATTATCTTTCCCCCAAGAATCCCAAGGCCCCAGCCATTCTTTGCTATGCAGTCTAGATAAATTAATAATACAATTTAAAACCGATTCCACCAAGATAAATAGCGCTTCCTAGATTAAGAGTGTAGCTGGCCAGAATGAATGAAATTTACTAACCCTGAGATACTTAATCTTCCATTACATAGAAGTTAATGATTATAAGAAAGGAGTGATGGTAATTCACTTCTGCTTTTACAGGAAATCCGACCATCTCATTTTTAGCAAATCTTTCTTCTCAGCACACCTCAGTGCCAAGGAGAACTGCTGTGTTCCTATAGGTACATTGGCCAAGGGTCATATATCAAAGCCTCCTCTTCACCCAAGGGTTCGGCCTTTGAGCACACATGGGCTTTCGTAACATCCCAGCTGGGATGTTGGCTGGGAAGTCTACTTGGGTGCCCCTTCTGACATCTGAGAAGCTTGAGTACATCTTGTTTTCCAACTACAGTGGGGTAACGGTGGCACATACCTTTAGCGCAGTCTGCTCCTAGAAATCCTGGGAAGCAGTGACACAGGCCAGATACACATTCGCCATTCCCGTGGCAGTTTCGCGGACAGTCCTGCACTGAATCTGAAAAAAGAGAGAGACTGAGCAATTAGCTTCTCTCCTACCTGCTGGTGCAGCCCTTTAATAGGCAGTCATCCGCCATTTTTAAAGACCAGCAATAGGAACCCAGAGAGAACAGGGAATGGTGGGACAGGGACTCTGGCTCCGTGCGTGGAAGTCATCGCCATGCCCCATCTGTTTCATCAAAGCAGGTCTGCAGGGCTGGTATCGCTGCGAATTTTGCTTTTGTCAGAAGAGCCCACCAAGAAATCATCCTATCACTGTGAGATGAGGTCTGAAATGTGGTGAATCAGTTTTTAGCTTCTGGAATAGAGGGTGATTTTTCAAGATGAGAGTGGTTATTACTAATGTCAGGTTCCCTGAGTAAAAATATAACCTGCTTTAGGAAGTATAATAAAAAAAAATCAAAATATAGTCATTAGCTGCATGTGACGTTCTGGTCAATAATGGAGTGCACACAAGATGGTACACATCACATAGCTGGGGTGTGTAGTGGGATCCACCTTCTAAGTGTGAGTAAGAGATGTCTGTGCAATGAACAAATCACCTAATGATCCACTTCTCAGAATATATCCCCATTGTTAAACGGTGCAGGGCTCTACCTACGAATGATACCTCAGAAATGATTTTGGGTTTATATGACAGGCATTGGGTTATACACAAATCCTTTTATGCTTAGCTTTTGGGGTTTTATTTTTTATGAGGTTCAGTTGGTTCACATTTTTCTGGAACCTGCAGAAGCATTTTATTTCATGATTTACTTTTCTATGTGTACTTTCAAGCTATACTTTGCCCTTGATCATTTTAGAGTTTTTTTCATGTTGATTTGGGTCTGCATACACATAGACACATTCTTTTAAGATTATGATTATTATTTTCTTTTTTGCCTTCAATTAAAACAAAACCCATTTCAACTTTTAGGTCCCAAATTACTAAGATGATAAAAGAAAAACACAAGCCACTAGGTCCTAAGTGTGACATTGCACAACCCTGGGAGATTTGGGGACACTGGCGTGGTGACTGGGTATGAAGAAACGTAAAGTCTAATTGTTCCTAATGGAGTCACTGAGAGTGGTAAGGATGTGTTTCCTTTCAGCCTAATTTCCCACTATTCTTGTTCTGGACTGAGAAATCAAACCATGCGACTTTGCCTTCTTTTAACGGTGTTTCTCTTTCCAGCTTTGTTCTTCCAGAACCTGGATGTAGCTTGTTTCTGGCACTCTGAGGAGAACTCAGTGAGTGCATGGGTGGGTTTTTCAGAATCAAGCAAAAGACTAAAAGCTCCATCAATCCAGTTTCCTTGATGTCTAACAATGAATATTCTGGGCTGAAACACTCTTTAAAGGTGGGCCAGGAAACACCTGAGGGGCCACCTATGTGGCTTGTGTGTTTCATGTACTCGTCATTCACTCAAAGAGCATCGGGTGCTTTGGTGGATCTAAAATCAGCCTTTTCATGTGGTGTTGGGGGACAGCTGTCTCTGGGGTGCTCCCATTTCTGAAGGTCTTGGGAGCAGGGACACTGACTTCTGGGCTATTCAGAAATGCCTTTTCAAGGCTGTCTGTGTAGGGCTCAGCCTTGGGGGAGAGGAAGTGTCTCTCTCCAAAGTAAAGGGGGGTTTATTTACTATCAAGCATAATAGAGACAAGGTCTCCCCCAGAGCATGGTTAGGAAGCAGGCTTATTCTTGAAGTAAGATCTCAGACTTGTCATGGTTCTTGATCTAGGGTTCCACCTATTAACTAAAGACCTACGATGTACCAGAACTGGAGATGCTATGGTGAATGAGACATGGTCTCTGCTCTCAGACCTTTCTAGTATCATAGAGAATACAAGCTAAAAAAAAAAAAAAAAAAAAAAAAACCCATTGAGTCAAACAAGTAACAATGGTAAGAAATGCTTTGAAGAGAACAGGATATTGGAATGGGGATAAGAGGTAGAAGCCATGGGGACAACTTGGCTATACTGCAGGCCACTGGGACCATGGGGAACAGCCGAAAGTGTTAAACAGAGACAATATCCAGCTTGCATGTTTCGAGGTCCTTGCTGCAGGAGGTACTGAGTGCTTTTCACTGAGCATGTGCGTCTGGGTGTGGTTTGGTGGAAATGGACCCTTCTGAGGCCAGTGCTCTTGGATCTCCAAATTTACATCTGCAGCAACAGAGCACGGAAGGAGGACCCTCCTTGCCACCAAAGTCCCGGGTACAGTACCACAGGCGTGCCATGCTCGCCAATTGTCTGGAAGTCCTTGCTTGTGGGCATGGACTTCCATCTCAGCTTAGAGGCCACTCAGCTCCTGGCTGTCCTCCTACCTCACTTTCCTCAGCCTAGGTTTTTGTACTGCTTGTTCCTGTAACTGCCTTTTGACATACTGAGATCCCCAGGGAAAAGACCAGATCTGAATTGCTGAGGTACTCTTAATGCCTGGTATATAGTAGGTGCTGAGGTATTCTTCTGCCTGGTATACAGTAGGTCCTTGTGTGTGCACAAGAGGAAGACAATCCCAAACAAGCAAAAACTGCCGAGGAGTGTATCTATCAGTTAAGTCTCCCAAGGTCTTATACTGAAAGCATTTGGGCAGGTTTTGCAGGAATAAAAGCATCATGTGGTTCTGCTAAAGCATAAAAGATCCCATCCTGCTTGGGGCCCCTTTGTCCCCTCTGGGCTGTCACTGAGATATTATCTGTTTTCCTGGGTGTCAACTTGGTTCAAGTTGTTGTAAGGAGGAACTGGCAGGAGGCGTGGGCAGGCCCAGGAAGTCAGCACACAGAGCGGGGGGTGCCAGGGCCTGCCTGGCTTCCAGAATGCTGCTGTCGTCCCGAGAGGATGCTCATTTCTGAAGGCAGACGGCTTCTCTGCAGAACACATCACAGACTCCTGAGTCAAAGGTATATTTAGCGTGATCGCTGGTTGACACCCGTCTAACACTTTCCCTTCTGTTTCCCATCGCAGGGCTGCCGCCATCCTGGCTGCTCTTGATGGAGAATGTTCTGATGATAGGTATGCGGGGAAGAGCCTCGAACTAGGTAAAACACTGTTCTTTCCCTGCATTTCAGGCCAATTGCTATCATTGCTCTATCAAGATACCTGCCCGACTATTAGGCCGATTACCTTTGACTCTCCCTATGCTCTAGTGGGTGAGATCCTCCGGAGAGGGGAGAACTGCTCTTCCCAGCTCTGACAGGCGCAAGGGTAATACCTGGGGCAGGGGCCCTCAGCAGCACTGAGTCTGGTGAAGGGACAGGAAGGCAGAGCCACCTCCAGTTCACCTGGGCCCTGACATTTGCTGTCCAGGGGGAAAGGGACACATTTAACTAGAATTCAAGGCTGGTTAGGGACTGAGAGCACAGCTCTGCAGAGTCTAAATGGGGACTTCACCTCTGACGGGCTACTTGTGACCTCAGGTGAGTCCTAGAAGTCCTCCAGCTTTGGTGTCCTGTCCTGATTGCTGGAAGGGAAGGGGACAGCCATGGCACCTGCTGCACGTGGCTCTCCAGGGCCCAACTGAGCTGATGGGCACCAAACACAGCATGCAGAGGCTGCCAGAGGGCCACACTCCAGTGGCGGTCCTACTAGCCGCTTCGCTGGGTCCTCAGAAATCCAGCAGCACCAGCTGCATGCAGCACGACATGAGTGCTGCTGCAAACACGTCAAGGCTCCCGAGTTTAAACACAAGGTGACACAGGAAGTCATGTCTCGTCATGTTCTTAAACTAAAGACTTAAAAAAATCTCAACATCTCAAACTAGATCTCAATTTGTTGCTCGTTTCTTCCTTCTGAGTCGCTACAGCTTTGATGCTTCTCCCTTGCCTCAACCTGGAGGAGCTGCTTCTCCAACCGCTTTCGTGATAACTGAGTTATGACATGACTTTAGAGCAGGGCCAGGCTTTTTCCTGTAAAGGGACAGATAGTAAGGATGTCGGCTTCGTGGGCCATATGGTCTCTGTTGCAACTACTCAACTCCGCCGCTACAGTGGGAAAGCTGCCACCGACAATATGTAAACAGACGAACGTGGCTGTGTTCCAATAAAACTTTATTTATAAAAGCAGGCAGTGGGCCAGATAGGGCCCCTGGGCTATACTGTGCCAACTCCTACTTCAGAGCATGTGGATAGCCTCAGTAGGGCTGATCTGTCCCTAACAGAGGGAACAAGGATCAGCCTCTACCTATGGTCAACACTAAAATTCTTTGTGATGTTATATAATTCTCAAGTGGCTGCCTCAATTTCAGGTTGGATTATGCAGATCTTTCAAGAATCATAAAACCCCTTGGAAAAATCCATGGGGCTGATAGAGAAGCTCTTAAAATGCAGTCAGTATAAAAACAGCTGTATAACATATCGTTTTAAAATAAAATGGTGGCTTGCTTTGCCAGATGAGGTGGTACACACCTGTTAGGTCCAGCTACTCAGGAGACTGAGGCAGAAGGATCACAAGTTTGAGGTCAGCCTCAGAAACATAGCAATCCCCTGTCTTGAAATAAAAAGTACAAAGGACTAGGGATGTAGCTCAGTGGTAGAGCACCCCAGACTCCATCCCCAGTAAGGCAAAAATAACAACCCCTACACCCTCACCCCTGGCAGGGCTTGCATTTACTGACCTCCAACTCTATGCCAGCCCCTGCCTTTCCTGAATGTGGCCACCACCTTTCCACAGATGAAGACACCTAGGCTCAGGGAGCTCAGCCACTTGCCCAGTTAGAGGTGGGATTTAGTCCTGCAGTTGTGAGATCTTTCCTTATGAAATCACTCCATCTAGGCTTCTCCAAGAAGCTTGAGAGCCATGTTTAAAAGTTACGATGATGCAGAAAGGCAGTGGATGAGACCCAGGGACCCATCCATTACCATAGCCTGGGGCCTTGAGGGGCTGAGTTAGCTTTTCAAACCTCAGTTCATTCTTCTGTGAAACGGGCCTAACAATTTGCCCTGATTCACACAGTTTCTACCCAGGATCAATGATCCTGATCAGAAAGAAGATTAAAACCCAATAACAAAATAACCGAAATGAAAATATCCGCAACTTCTCTGAATAGAATTGGTAATTTGCAATTGAACTTTGTGAATTTGTGAGCTAAAGTCCTTAGGACTTATGTGCATAAAGAAGAGGAAATTTAGAATAAAATCCTGTCTTTTCTCTTGATAGCTAATAAAAAGCGGGGCTAAAACACACCAAACATGACAAGAGCTTAATTAAAGTGAGGATTTTTCAACTGTTGGCATTTTAAGGACTTCTCTGCTGGCCCTATGGATTTTTCCAAGGGGCTCCATGATTCTTGAAAGATCTGTGTAATTAAGATTTGCCTGCTAGGGAATAAAGACATTTTTTTTTAAGTCTATATTCTTTCTCTGATTTAGTTTTAAGTTTTTAAAACTCTTTTTATTTGGGGGCATTCTCAGTTTCTAAGAGAAGTTCTGAGCTGATGTGAATGGTGACTGTTTATTGCCTCTACTCTGGGCTTAGAGACGTATGCACATCTCCATTTTCCGTAATCCTGATGACAGCCCTCTGGGGTGGGCGCCAGTGTGCGCTCTGCTTTACCTGAGGGGAAACACAGGCTTACTCCTTGCACTGATTTGCCTAGGTTGTGTGGATGTCTTTGACCCAGGACCTCTGACCAAACTCTTAACCCCACCCCTGGCCCCTTTGGCATGGTTTCAGCAGCGCGTGTGTCTCATCAGAGCTTGGTTAGGGGACAATGTCATGAATGTCATATGAACATCGCATTATGATCCTGATGGGGGTTCCAGTGAGACCTCACTACATGGGGACTCTGGGAAGCCGCGTCTTCCGCGGAGAAGCCATCCATCCCTTTGTGCACTGCATCCCAGAGACCCGCACCTACCTAAGACCACTGTGTTGAAGGAAACCATCTCCTTGTCTTTGCCGTCATTGTAGAAGGCCAGGTGCCACAGGCCCACATCCAGGTACTGCACAAACACAGCTTCGTTTTGGACCAGGGTCTGAATGCTCCGGCGCTCTCTGGGTGACTCCACGACGCTCCACTTCTCCTTCCCATCCAGTCGCTCCATGAAGTCATACTGCGGAGGAGAGGAAGCACCCCGGGGTGAGTGGTGGTGCAGACCCGTCCCATGACCCGCATCTCCCCTCCCACCCATTCCTTGGCTGAGATATCCTTTTTAGTAAGTTTCATTATGAGTTCATACAGTAAAACAAGCCACACAATTTGTAACAGTAATAACAGCCCCTGTTTATTATGCTTATGGTGACCGTGGCTTGTTTTATGACCATGGCTGAAATCTCTGGCCTGTAGCTTGGAAATACATAAAACTTCAATGTTTTCTTTTCTTTCTTTCTTTTTTTCACTTTTTTGGGTGTGTGTTTGTTTATGTGTCTGTGAGATATGGGTTGTTGCTCCAGACCCCACTGGGATGCTATATAATTCATAGTTTATGCCAAGTAAAACTTTTCTATAGTTCTCCAAATTCTGAATTCCAAGTGCATCTTGTTCCCCAGGAGTTTCAGATAAGGAATTATACACCTGTTACCAGCTACTCTTTGGTGATCATTTACAGGGAGAAGACAGAACAGTAAAGTGACTGGGAATGAGGACCCTGAAGCCAGACTGCCTGGGAGAAATTTTGGCTGGGACATTAATTTTAGCTGTCAGTGCCTCAGTTTCTCCATTTACAAAACTGTGAAAATAATAGTATCTATGTACAGGGTTGTGAGAATTAATATAACACTTATAGAACAGTGTCTGGCACACACAAAACCCCCCACAAAATATATGTTAGTCATCATCACTATAATCATTTTTTTTTTTCAATTCTTACTATCTTGGTTCTATTTATATCCATGTGTATGTAGATATAAACTTTTGTGTAGAGCTGGGGATTGAACCCAGGGCTTTGCACATGCCAAGCAAGTGCTGTACCACTGAGCTACATCCCCAGCCTGTATCCATATTTTATGACTAAGAAAATCTCAGAAGTCAAGCAACTGGTCACATAGTCACAAGACTTGGACAGAGATCTGTTTGACCGTAATATCCATGCCCCGATAGCGCCTAGATATACCAGAGATTAAATGTGGAAACCAGGTTCGGAGCTGGATGTGATCAAGTGAGAGACAGAGTGGTCAGCTAAAGCTACTAGGGATGGGAGGATGACGAGAACAAATGTTACCTGAGAGTCCTGTTCTAAATAGCAGGTAGAATATTACGAGGCAAGTGGGAGCCACGGAAGAGTCCTGAGCAGCCCTGATGTAATGTTCTCAGGGGTTAGTTGTGCAGATGGGTATGAGGTGTTCTGCAGGGGAGAAAGAGCGAGTCCACGCAGCAATGGACTCATCCTGAAAACTCTTTCAGCACTGTGTGGAAAAGCAGCTGGTACTGTGCCTTCCAGAGCACATTCCAAGGGGAGGTCTTTAGCAGATAGAAACCACCACTGTAAGCCTGCGCTCTCTCCTGGCTTTGCCCAATTGGAAGGGTTTTCACAGGTGGCAGACATCAGCTGTACCCCCTTCACCAACTTCACAGAACCCAGCTCCAGGAGCCTTCTGGTGTGGGGGCCCCATTACCAGGATTGCCAGCTTTTCCATCTGAAATGTGATCATTGAAAACAAAAGACTTTCTAATCTCCAGCACAAAGGTTTTGCCATCAGACAGACCAGGGTTTGAATTCTGTCTCTGCCACTTGCTACTGTTTGACTTGAATCTGTTGTTACTCTCTGTCTGGTTTTCCTACTGGGGTACAACAGCCCCTGACTTTCAGGGCTGTCGTGAGCTACAGCTTAGGGTAGGGCCTGGGAGATTATAAGCATTCTTTTTAAGTACCTAGTGACTATGAGTCACCTGCTCGCAAATCAGAATGATCACAGAAGAGCAGAGCGGGCTTCCATTTTAACACGTGCAGATGGCCAGTGCCCAGGAAGAGGACATTCGTCCCATATTTCAGGAAATAAGTGTTTGTGTTTGGCTTCCTTCTACCCCGCATTCCATTGGTCACCGCTGTCCTTAAGGGCTAAAATAAATGATGGGAAAGGATATGACAAACCGTTGCTGTTTTCCAAGACCTTTGTAACCAAAGCATTTGTTCCTTAGCAACCTCGTAAATGTCCAACTACAAAGACCCACGTCTACAAATTGCTGTCAGCCAGAGGAATGACTGTAACTTCCTTGGTGCCGAGGTGAGAAGAATAGACTTCATTTGGGGTCCAAGTGATCACCCCCATGAGGAAGAGTTGGGGAAGGTGATTACTTGTGCGGGGCCATTGCTCATTACTAATTTGGGCATCCGTCATCTTTTGCCCATCTGCCGACCAGCCAAGGGACTCTCGGCAGTGGCTTGGGACTAGTGGTGGTGCTCGCTGTCCAACCAATCAAACTGCTCTGGGAAAAGGCATTTTTTTTCAGAGGAGAGGGAGGACATCTATTGTGGCTGCCCCTCAGAGTCCTTCTGCAGAAGCTTGGAGGGCAGCCTCCATTTAAGCAGGAACCTGCCAGCCACGGCTCTCAAATAAGGTACTGGATGGGAGGGCGGGGCACGATCAGACTCTGATGGGGCTCAATCCTGTGTCCCTTTACTGCACCTTATTTTTCTCAAGCTCTTGTCACCCCCCTAAATGTCTTTAAGTCACTGTGGGGCCAGTGAGACATGTGTAAACTGCAGGTGCGGGATGTGTGGCGTAGGGAGTGACTAAGAGAAAGGACTTCAGAGACGTCGTGCCTGGGTGAGAGTCTGAGCTCCGCCACCTCCTTCCTGGGGTGCTGCACATGCGGTTTAGATTCACTGTGCCTCCACTGCCTGGGCTTTAAAATGGGGATAGTGACAGTATCCACACAAGAACGTCACAGTGAGGATGGAATGAGCCTCTGCCTACAAGGTGCTTGAATAGCACGTGCTTTGTACATGGTGAGCATGCCTCATTAGCATCCTCTGCTGGGTCAAGTGCACCTGGAGCAGAATCTGACCAATAAGCATTTGTTAAATATCCAATGAGTGAAATAACAAATTTGTAAAGGAAGTCCATGGAAAGGGACCAGAATTGCACTGAGGGCTTCTCTTCTCATAACCATCACCATCACTTCTTTCTTCTGAAGTGCTGTCTTGAACAGGAGAGGGAGGGGTGGAGTTACTGTCATTGAACCTGGAATGCCGTGCCACCCCGGGATCCGTGATGTCACCCTGTGGTTCTGAAGGAGATGCTTTCTCTGTCCCTTCTTGCCTCGTTCCCTCCCTCCTCTGACACCAGCTTAGGGACCTCTGTGGTAGAGACTGCTGGTTGTTGCCAACATCAGGATGTTCCTCCCCAGCCCGTTTGCAGTCAGGTGGGGGTATGTGCCCATTCTGGACAAATGGGGCATAGTGTGGCTCGTCCTCCACTTCTAGATCCTGCCATCCAATGTCCTGTGCAATCTCCCTCGTGCTCTTCCTCTGTTCCCATCTACCCTGGAAGGTGCCAGGGAACCTTTAAAGCCCCTGTTCTTGTGGCAGAACCACAAGATAGGAATGCCCTGGATACTAGAATGACTCTTGGAGGAGAGTCCGAAATTGCATCGTGAGCAATCAATACACGTTTACTAGAGGAAGCCACTGAAACGATGCGGTGTGTTACTTGGCAGAGTTTTCAGAGATTTCCTGACTCCAGGCTTTCTTCCTCCCTAGTTCGCTACCCAAGATCATAGCCGGTCCCTGCATATCTTCCACTTCTTATCAGGCAGGAGGGGAGGGGTCACCAGGAAAAACGGGCAGCATCTTCTGTTGGCGAAATTCCAACTCCATCCAGCACATATAGGGTGTCTCATTATCCTGGTTCACCCAGGAGGGTTGCAGTTGGCCCAGGTGGGTGTGCCTTTTAGTCCCAAAGCTGCTGTAGAGGGGGACATGTGGTCTTGTTCCTTGTGGTTAGCACATGCCATCCAGCATGACCCATGGTGGCTATAACGTGGGAAGGGGCTGGGGTGTGGAAACACAAGGAGCATCAATCAAGCCAGCCGTGGAGACTCCTTCCAGGGTCGGGACAGCAGGACTGCAGGGAAGCCATCTGGTTCAGGGGAGCCTGTGCTCTCTAGGACCGCAGTCCTAGGCTGCCGCCTGGCAGCTTGCTTGGCGGACTGGCTGTCACTAGAAGGAGGACATTTTCCAAGAACCCAGGCCCTGGCCAGAGTTCCCTTTCCATGGTTCATCACTGGGAATTGATAACTCAGGCTGAGGACCAGGGACATCTGATTCCTCTGTTCCAGGACCCCATGATGATCCATCCAGGACACAGAGATGCTGGGGGGGCGGGGCACGCTGTGCTTGGTGACCGAAAAGGTTGTGCCATGGCGCGCTCTATCTAATAGGTCTGCAGACACCCTGGAAGGGGATCAGAAGGCACATGACCAAATCCCAGTGGAAGGGTGTATCTGTGCCTGGGTTGCCTGCAGGGAGGACGTTTGTCTCTCAAAGCAGCTTGTGTCTCTTGCAGCCACCCAGGGTGGGATTGCACAGTAACCCCAAATAAACACCGCTCCTCTCCCCGCGAATTCTCTTTCTCTGGCCTTTGAAAAATAACCCATGTTGGCACTCAAAGTGAGGACTGCGCCTCGGAGTCATTAGTCATACCCCAAAGTGGCACGAGAATGCAACTTTTACAAGAGCTCGAGGAGCAAGTAAATAAACCACAGCAAATATTTGACTGATCCAATTATAAATCTCTCAACTTCTTGGCAGAGACCAAGAAGGAATGGTAATTAAGATAACTTAGTGGGCTTCCAGAAGAGCTGGAGGAGAGGAGAGGTGCGTGGACCATTGAGCAGGGTCTGTCACTTTCCCAGAAGGGAAGGCATCCGCACACGGGGAGCAAGCAGCCCAGGGAGGCTTCTGGAAGCCACCCGGGTGCATACCTGCCAAAGAGGGCAAGGTTAAAGACAGACTCATTGCCCTTCAGAAAGACGTTATTGCTGGGTCCAGGACCCTGGGAGACCGGGAAAATAACTTTATTGCTATTTGGAACGTCTGCTGGCTGAGGGTTGATGGGGACTGGGAAAAGCAATAAATGGTGACATTTCCCATGGACGTCCTGCCGCTCCCCT